AATAGTGATTTCAACATTAAATTTGTCCCAGCAGCAGCAGAATAAAATGTTAATTATTGTCTAGAGTTAAACTTAAGGGGTACGTTAAATTTAATACGTGATAAAAGATCTGGGCAATCAATATACAAGGTGGCGCATCGAAAACGAAACAGACGCATTTACTGGCAGTTCAGTTTTTTTTTTTGGAAAAACGCTCAGACCCGTCGATTTTTTTTTTTCGAGGGGGACACAAGTTTGGCTAAAAATCACGTTAACACGTGCAGCCCTCTGGGCGGGGGTGACCAACCCTAAAATCTTAAATGGAAAGGGGGTCGAGTGATACCTTAGGTCTTTCAATTCCCTTTATCATGATGTAAAATACATGAGCTTCAGTTCAGTAGTTTTGAAGAATTATTGATTTAAAGCTTAAAGTAGACTTTAATAGGTACATCAGGTTAGTTTGTACTACTTTCAGAAGAAATTTGACTTAAATAATTTACTTAATAAGTAAATGCTTTTCTTCACTACGCCCATGGTTTGTTTATAATTTTTTGTTGAAAATAGCTATTGGAGCGTTTTTTTGTGGCAAAAAAGTTATTTCTTGAAGAAAGATCAGTAAATATCTCGTACTTATTTTAAATAGGAATTTAGTACATAGTTTGCGATTGATTTGACCAAACTTTGTTGCTAAAATAACTTGTTACGCTTTATTACATAAATTAACAATGGTATATTCCACAGCAGATAGGGTTGAAATTATAGAAATATTTTTCGGAAATAATCAGTGCGCTAATAGAACAGCAGAAATATTTAATGAGCGACATGAGAACATTAACGTGCATCGAAAATATGTTCTAGAACTTGTAGCTAAATTTTGGGAAACTGGGTCAGTTGCCAAAAAAAAAAAAACGCAACATTGAAAATCCCGTAAGAAACGAAGAAATAGAAGTGGGGGTTTTATGGCAAGTTTATGTAGATCCTACGTTAAGTACCCTCAAATTGGAGACTGAGTGTGGTGTTAGTCGACGTACTGTCCAACGGATTCTAAAGGCCCATAGTTTTCATCCGTATAAAATTCACCTGGTACAAGAACTTAATGAAGATGATTTTGATCGACGATTACAATTTTGTGAAGATATGAGTGAACGAATTATAAACGATGAACATTTTCTATTCAAAACTTGCTTTTCCGACGAATGCTCCTTTTTCTTAAATGGCGTAGTAAATCGTCATAACTGCCGATATTGGTCCGATTCTAATGCCACAATTTATTATGAGGTTCATACACAGCAGCCACAAAAATTAAATGTTTGGGCTGGTATTTTTGGCGATCATTTAGTTGGTACTTTTTTCTTACCTGGAAATTTGACCGATGAAATGTATTTGGAATTACTTGAAGACGCCATAGATCCTGCATTAACAGCCATAATTGAAAATCAGAATGATCGGCGGTACATTGCGAATAGGTTGATATTCCAACAGGATGGTGCCCCACCACATGACGCATTACGTGTTCGACAATAACGTATTTAGATCAGACGTTTCCAGATCGATGGATTGGGAGAAGAGGTGCCATTTAAAAAGCAAAATCTATGCTACTCAGCCAACATCATTAGAAGACCTGCGACAAAGAATTGTGAATGAGTGCCTTCAAATTACTCCTCAAATATTGCAAAATGTGCGGCAACGTTTTGAGCAAAATCTTTATTATTGCATGGAGAGTCATGGTGGCCTTTTTCAACATTTGTTTGCCTAACGGGTCAGTTCATTCTTCATTTTTAAATTACTTTGCTGCCAAATGATGATGTAATAGTTTTATTTAAGCTTTAAATCAATAAATCTTCAAAACTACTGAACTGAAGTACATTGATTTTAAATATCATTATGAAGGGAATTGAAAGACATTTAAAATAAGGTATCTCTCGACCCCCCTTTCCATTTAAGATTTTGGGGGTGGTGTCACCCCCGCTTAGGGGGCTGCACGTGATTTTTTGCCAGACTTGTGTCCCCCTCGAAAACAAAATCGACGGGTCTGAGCGTTTTAAAAAAAAAAAATGAGCTGCCAGTAAATGCGTCTGTTTCGTTTTCGATGCGCCACCCTTTATAAAGGAATGAAAGGGATGAATGACAGTGTCCGAGCTCCAAACTGTCAATGTCAAATATATATATATATATATATATATATATATATAACGTATATATATATATGGTGCTTTTTAAACACTAGGTATTTCAAAAACTTCCTTTTTAGTTTATCCAGTCTTTCCTTGTGACACTGATAGTATGGGTTCCAGACATTCGAACAGTACTCCAGTTTAGAACTTACATAGGGAAAAAATAGACATTTCAATGCTGCTTCACTACTAAATGATCGACAATTTCTAACGATGAATCTATACATTTTGTATGCTTCAGCAATTTTCTTATCAATATGATTAACGAAACTGATTTGCGAGTCAAATAATACTCATAGATACTTTGTGGTTGAATGACGCTTCAAAAAAATACCATCAATATTATAGTCAAATAAGATTGTTGCTTTTTTTCCTAGAGGAAGCGACTACTGTACACTTTGCATCATTCGGTGCTAATCTTTGTTTTACTACACCATAAATGAACTTTGTTGAGCATAACCTGTAACCTATCAGCGTCTTCTGTAGCAGTTACATATATTACAATAGACTTTAAGATTGTCAGCATAAAACAATTTCCGTGTTTCAGTTACATTATCCAAATCATTGATGAAAATATTAAATAGTAGTGGCCCTAAGTTTGATTCTTACGGAACACCTATACACACTGTATGTGTTAGAATTGTACCCATTATAGTTTATATACTGTGATCTATTGCATAAGTAAGATTTACGAAATTCTATTAAATCCGTCGAAAAAACTGAGAGTTTTTTAAGAATACCATGATCCACTCTATCAAACGCTTTTCCATGTTGCCTTGGAATGATATTAGTACGAACGCGAACTGAAGTTCCCAAAAGATTGACAATGGATATGGCACGGCAATTGGAGATAATATATTTATCACCTGTTTTAAAAGTTGGCACAATTTTGGCTGCCTTCCATACTTGAGGAAATATACAAGATTTCATTGCCAAATTATATATAATTCTTAAAGGATATACTAAAACAGAAAAAATCTTCTATTGGGAATTATTTTTTTAAATGCTTAGGAAACCCTGATAGTTTGTAGTTATCCATAGATTTTCGCCTCCTTCCGAAACTTTTTTTAGGTGTGGGAAACAACTCCGTTAGACTTGTATTGGATTTTAAAGACGTATAAAATTGGCGTTCTTTTTAAATGTTCCAAGATATGATTTCCATTTTGACTTAATACTGTAGCTGCTGAAATCCACAGTGAAAACCATATTACTTGCTGTTGTGAGACTTAAACAGGCTCCATCAGAAAGAACGCATGTTTTTTAAATGAGTAGTACAGTCAAAATAAGTAAGGGAAAATATTCTATTACATCAAAATACTCAAAAATACATGCCATTTTTTTGAGTAAACAAAATTTACGTTCTAAAAACTATGTCGGCCATATGGGCCCTTGAGCCGAAATGCAGGAATCAAGCCTCTCCGGCGATATTCCATGGCCCCCTCGCTCTCCGGACCTTACAACGTGTTTTTTTATGGGGCTACCTGAAATAAAAAGTTTACCAAAGCAAGCCTCGGACCCTCGTCGATTTGAAGTAGGAAATAAGAAGAGAAGTAACCCAAATTCCTGCACCGATGCTGGCCGACGCGATGGGCTCATTTCGGGAGAGGCTTGATTCCTGCATTTCGGCTCAAGGGCGCCATATGGCCGGCAAAGTTTTTAGAACGTAATTTTTTTTACTCAAAAAATGGCATGTATTTCTGAGTATTTTGATATAATAAAATATTTTTCCCATACTTATTTTGACTGTACTACTCATTTAAAAAACATGCGTTCTTTCTGACGGACCCTGTATATTTAAAAAAATCAAAACTTCTGAAAAATACTCTATCTAGAACAAATCACTCATCCAGGGGTGCTACCTATATATTATTAGCTTACTTATCTTGAAACGTGACATTATGTCGGGATTTTGACATTATATATGTTTTTTGTGACATTATGTAGGTTTTTTTACAAGATGTCAACTTAGAACTAGCTGTTGTCCACTTTATATGCACTCGTTCTGCAGCTGTACGTGTACCCAAACATCAAGTCGCTTCAGCTATCAATGTTTGGCTCCGATGTGATGTAACATCTGCCCTAGAGATGGCATTATTGGAGGTCTAATCTGTAAGTTGTATACTATAGCTGGAAGGAAACGGCAGGGCATAGGTGCATAGTGAGGATTTGTGTTTCTTGTCTCAAACATACTTACTTGAGATGTAATGCGATCTTGCTATTCAATTAATCTGCGTTCTTTCACATCTTAAGTCAGATAAATACACTACAAACTATCTCGGCATTCTGCAACCAACAAAGCACGCTAGCATGTCGTTTGAGTCATTCCTCTATAGACGACGCTCACGACGAGCAATAGCGGAATGAACTATTTGTACACTAGCAGCTATCTAGTCAGAAAGTTGACATTTGGTCGTTTTTTTACATTATATAGGTTTTTTATGTAATATAATACTTGTTGTGAACTCGTTTTGTGTCTGTACGTGTTGCTTAAACGTCAGCGAACAGCGGTTATAGCGAGCAAACGTGGAATGAACTACTTACTTGCACACTAAAAACTACGTAGTCTGCAAGATGACATTTCGTTATTTTTCTGACGTTTTCTTGCGGCAGGGGTATTATGTCACAAATCTACGAAATGTAAAAAAAAAAACAGAAGAAATGTCACTTTTCAATTTACGTAATATACTTGAGGGTCGACTGCTGGGCGAGTACCTTGTACTCAGAATTCGAATCTAACCGAGTTCCCGCTACTCGGCCTTTTGAAAAAACAAGTACTTGGTGAATCACCAGTACATATCAAGTATACTTAGCAGCTTCCATATTTTTAACATGGTACTCTGTTTGCAGCTTATGAACCCTTGAAGCTGATGCAATCCGTGATGGCAAAAACAAACGAAGTGTGCCTTCGCTACTTGGACAATAGTATGCTATGTTCACTGCCTTCCCCAAATGACAGTCCTGTTTTTTATCCAACAAGTACTTGCGCCTTCAAAAACTGCAAGAGGAAGATGGAAGATAGACACGTGGTCATACATGATCTTAATACAATGCTCAACATTCAGGTAGGTGATCATCTACTTTATTACGGCGAAAATTTGAACGGTGTTATATTTCATATAACCATATACCTTAATAATAAATGTTTTATTTTTGAAAGCTTCACCACCCTGTATCTTAAAAGTTACGACGTTTAGGTCATACGTTCATATGAAGTTTTCTTCTTAAAATGGAAGCAAAAACCGCCCCCTTACATATTGACATTCAATTAGGAAAACCTTGTATAGTGGTATTGATAGACGTTACAAATAAGAATAAATTGGAACATAAGACGAAGATAAACATTTTCAAAACTTTCTTCTGGGCATTCTAAGATTTTTTAATAACCATATTGGAAATCAAATTGTAGGACTTAGCAAAGTGAAACTCTGCATTTTTGAAAGAAAAGTTTTGCGGCCAGATCCAGACCAGTTCAAGCACAAACATTCAACTTTCATAATAGTGGATCTAGCGCCTCGGGTCTATTCCATCACCACCAAGATCGCTGGACCTGAATCCACAATTTTTTTATTCGGGTTGCTTTAGAGACTGTATACCAAGTCGAGCTGACCACGGTAACAAAATTTGGTTCCAACATTAGATCAGCCTCGAGCATCCTAGTGGATATTCTGGCAGGTTAAAAAGATGTTTCATGAAAAAAGTAGCTGCAACACTTACTAATAGATAGCCGAGGAAGGTGACAGGCATGTTTTTTTTCCAAGAAATCATAGTCTATTTTGCCGGCAGCAGCGCGGCCTGCCATCGCCCACTCAACCTGTGACCGCCAAGCGATCAGACGTTTTATTTTTTACTATCTGTTATCCGCCACCTCGTATGCTTTAAACTGTTACCTATATGAAACATTATTGTTAAGTGCTACAAGCTTCTGATTACGTATCTTTGATGGCATTAGTAAATTGACAGCCAACTTGTATGCTTGGGACATTTGATTGCGAGCAGAAACCACGGGACAGAAAGCTAAACTGAATCCAAATTCAAGATGAGATGTAAATAATAACAGTTAGCGCGTGATCTCTCGGTAACAGGTGGGGACAACGCCTCTTATTGGTCAATTCGCCATTAAATTTCAAGCGGTCGCCTGGCGGAATAATGCGCGGGGCAGGGGCAGGGCAGGCAGAGTTGCATTCAGGCCACCGACCCTCGAGTGTATCACTGCGTGCTCGTGTTTCCGTATTCACCTTGCTTAGCGTAGCCCTGAATGCGGCCCTGTACGCCGTCCTTGCTTTTGGGAATCACGCATCCATTCTATCTTGGGTGTAAATACACTATAGTTATATTAATACGTTTCCTTTTGCGGAAACAACTACGATTGAAATAACAGACCTGATGTGTGGTGAAACAGTAGCGAAAAAAGTAAAAAAAAAAAAAATAAATGAGAAAGAACTCACCGTTCAGTTGCAGAAAAATTCCAAGTACGTCACTCAAAGTACTGTTTTAAGTTGTCGCTGTAGGTAAAATGTTTCTTAGAAAGTCTAGGTACTGTAAACCTTCCACCCGATGCGGGAAAATAAATGAGCATACCATTTACCATGCCAACCCTAATATTCAAAGAAAATATCTTTTGATAATGTGATCGAAGGACTACGTGAGTATTTTCTAATGACCACACATGAGTATTTCGGAAATTATTAACCCGTGTCGCATGAAGGTTGATCCGTCCATGACCAATATCGACTGCAGCAGTCATTCACAAAAACGTACTCTTGCAGGAAAATCCTTAGCTTTGAGGGCTCGTACAAAAGGGTACAATTCATCATTACGCTGCATTTACCACACTATAAGTCTGTCATGATACAAAATTTTGTTCATAATTTGATACCAAATTTCGTGAAAAAATTCGTTACTGAATTTAATCCCCAATTTGTTTACAAATTACAATCCGGTCTGACACGTAAAGAAATTTTTGTACTAAATTTCATACGAAATTATAGTATGCGCAGTTGGTAGAAAAAACTATATCTGTCAACTTCTTACTGCCATTTTTCACGTCAAAGTCATTCTAACCACACTTTGCGATTTGCTACTTTATTCCTGTATTACCTTAATTGAATAGAAAATTGTAGAAAATGGAGCGATCCCGTAATTCGCATATATTATATGCGACTGCGACGGCAGCTATCTGCGTTGTAGCTGCCCACCTCATGAGAAAAAGAAGTAAACGAAACCGTAAAAGAATTTGGTGCCAAAAATGGAACAGGGAGAGGGACCAGGGCATGGGTGTGCTCCATATGCCGAATAAAGAACTTCTAGTAGGGGATCAACTGAGCTATAAGCCTAATTGGTTCTAAAGTCGTTCTAATTTTATCCAACGTAGCTTATTTGACTTTTCTGTTTTTATAGGCCTTGCTTTTTTCAGCATATAAATAATCAATCATATATCTCATACTCGTTTAGTAGTATGTCACACTGCTCCTTTGATCATGACATTTTAAGTATGTTTTCAATCTATAAGTAGAACACATAATGAAAGTGTTTAAGGTTAGGCCTGTTTTTGCCAACCAATTATCATCTCATATTATGTAATCATCACAAAACATCAAGAAGTTAACACAAATCATGTAATTCCTTGTCACGTAGCGCTTTTATTAGCCACTGTACTGTTCCAGATGCGCAGTATTCACGCACTTTTGGTATGATATTATTTAGAACAGGTTCTCAAAAATGTGGCACTAAATTTGTTCATACAAAATTATGTACCAAATTCTGTCGGACACTATTTTTGATTTTTCACGAAATTTAGCGTACTAAATTTAGCACAAAATTTCGTATCGTGGCAGAGGGCCTTTAGTCTTGGAGGCTTGCACTTGTCTAGCCTCTTCCCTAGTGCTTGTTGAAGGATTATCTTCTACAAGATTAAACACTCCTTCCTCAGTTTGCACCATCTCTTTTGCTCAAGGTAAACAAATCTAGGCGGGTCTGAATGATACTGTCCGGGAAAGCGAACTGCATACACTCGGGAAGCCTCGGTCGCATTTTGAAGACGCTCACCATGAATTAAAATCATGTCGACAAGTCCGATATTTCTGTAAAACGACCTGCATTCCTAGCTCCTTGCATAAGGTAAACACATCTAGGCGGCCCTGACTGATAATGTCTGTTAAGCGAATTGCACACTATCGCGAAACCTCAGTAGCATTTTGGAGTCGCTCTCCGCAAATTAAAATCATGTCGACAAGTTCGATATTTCTGTAAGATTTTTGTTTTTCTTCCAACCGAATGATGTGATCGATATACAGGCGGGGATTAGGTTTGGCTGATTTTGGGCAACCTAATGTCTCGGTTATCTTAAGACTTTGGTATATATGCTGCTGGGACCGTTCTGCAGATACTGAAATGATTTTTTCGCGAATCCACGGTGAAGTACAGTGCACTACCGGGAACCGATACTCAAATTTTCGCGAAGAGCGGAAATATGGTGGACGGATGTGACGTTATCCAAATATCAAAAAGTCACGTGGTACGGTTAACCTGCTAACGTCGTTGAGGTAATAGCGGGTGACAGGTCTTATGTCAATGTCATTTGAAAAACAAAAACAATTGAAATTTGTCTTCGTCTTCGCAGTGCCGAAAATTGAGTTAAATTATTGAATCATAAATGGAGGAACAGGTCCACACGATTTTAAATGACGAGGGAAAAGTTCATCGAAGATATAGGAACTGCACTTGTCATATCAAATGGTTGAGTTTTATTGATATATGTATATGTACATTGCACAAAAAAAGATCGGTCTTTTTATTTCAGATTCAAAGAAGGCAGCTAAGTTTATCAAGGAGCTCAAAGCAAACATTTTGCATAACATGCGCCATCTAACCTCTCCCGGTTTAACTTGAAACTGTCAAAACTTCCATCTGTTCCCGCTCCATTCACTACGGAATCTCGCGGAAATATCTCTTGAGTTGTGGTAAATAAATGGACCTAATATTGTGGTCCCTAGAATTCCACACCTCATATTAAACCCAAAATGTTCTTGATCTGGATACTTTTTTAGCCCGCAGATTTTCTTGAGCCCAGTTATGAGCGTTGCGGTGATTAAAGATACCGTTATTAGTGATCATACTCTCGTCGGACCATATTATTTTGGAGGGACATTAAAATCTTTAGACGTTCGTGTGTACCACTCACCAAAATGCTGGCACCGTTCGCTATCCCCTGGTCTAAGACCAAGGCGAATCCTGAATTTATAGGGATGATATCTATTTTTACGCAAAATAAATTGGGCTGTGGATTTGGCTACGCCTACATTTTTCGTAATTTGCCTAGTTGATATCTCAAAGTTCCCAACAGCTGCTTCTAAAACAGTATTATGAGTTTCCTCTAAATACCCCTTTTTCGAGATGTAACAGGCTTTTTGAATGAACCATATTCATCTAAATTTCGAGCCAACTCTAAGAAAATGGACTTACTTTTTATTTATCAAGATGCATTTAAGAAGTATTTTTAGTATTTTTGTAGCACAAAATGTAGCACGACAGCATGTCGAACTTTTCTTCATTGCTAAAATGACCGCCTGATATCTTTGACGATACGATAATAAAGCAATATTAACAATACTCGGTGACAGGTATTTACGTCAAGTCAAGGATTTATTTGTAACGCCTACTTATAACAAAAAAATTAAAAATGCGTTTTCCTTATAACCAAGAAAATAAGTGTAACATGAGATACATCGTTGAATTCGGATAAAAAACTGCTATCAGATTAAGGGTGTACTTTTTTCGAACCAGATAAATAAAGATATAATAAAGATGTTGGTTTCTCAAAAACGAACCGACAGGCACAAAATTTAAAAACACCATCAGTTAGAGCCTAAAAAGTGCCAATGGAAAAGTTTCATTAGTTATTTCTTATATTTCTCAATCTTAAGTCAGAAAAAAATAAAAACGGTTTACCCCAAATTTTGGTTTTTCACAAATCTCACAGTAAGCCATTTTTCTCAATAACATGTAAATACGCCCCAAAGAACGCAACTTTTTCCTAATTTTACCTTAGCTGTATCTCCCACAGGTATTGAGATCCACATGCAGAGGATCCTTATCTTGGATATAGAAAAGACTTTCTTATGTTTCAGGAAGCAAGTCCGTCCAGTTATTACGCCGTGTTCGATGGCCATGCAGGCGTCGACGCAGCTGCTTACAGCGCCGCCCATTTGCACCAGTTCCTAGCTGAAAGCCATCTTTTCACCAATAATCCGAAGCAGGCCTTATACGAAGCATTTTGCAAAACTGATGCTCATTTTACAGATAAATGCAAAGTTGAGGTAAGTGTAGATTCCTCTCTACACAATAGGTCGCGGGTCAGGATGACCCACTGTATTAAAATTACAGGGAACCAGAAATTCGGGACAATTATCAATAGTATATTACAGATGTATATTTTCATTGTATATAGATGCTCATTCAGTAAAATAGGTATATTCTTTAATTCACCGGTTGATTCCATCACTGATGGATCCGGTGAACTTATGGTTGACAGCTGATGTGGTGACGTCAGCAACCGGTTCCCTTGAACATACAAGACGCATTTTTAGCCTTCAGGTTGCTGTCGTATGAGAAAACCTAACCTTTTTTTTATCGTGAATGGACGCTTATTAGTTTGAACTGCCTATCATTTAAAATCATTATGGCAATTTACGCAGCAGTTGGTATTGTGGTGGAACGTCTGTTAAGCGAGTCGAGTGATGATTCGGATGAAGAACTTATCCAGTGGAGAGAAAGAGCAACTCATACCAAAATTGAACAGTATGCAGATACAGTAGTCAACAGTTCTAGTTTGAGTGACTTTAAATCACATTTTCGGCTCACAAGGATCCAAGTTGAGGTAAGTGTTAGCCTTTATATTTAATACTCGATCTATTTTAACAAATCGAGAACTTAACTCTGTCATTCGTTTATTTTCAGGATTTATGCTCAGAATTGGAAACCAAAAAGGAGATTCACACTGTTGGGAGGCCAGCTAGTAAGCTGTTACCCTGTGTTCTATTAAGCCTTTGGACTTTGGCTAATCAAGAGAGCTTTCGAAGTATCGCGGATAGATTTGGAGTGAGTCCTGGGAATGCTCACACCATTTTTATTAGAACGTGCAAATTAATATGTCTTCTCCAAGATAAATATATCAAGTGGCCATCAGGTGCAGACATAGTTAAAACTGTGAAGGATTTCAATACTTTGCGTGGCCAAAATTCTTTTCCCAATGTGATAGGGTGTATAGATGGTAGCCATATAGCTATCAAAGGTGTAAAAGATAACTCGTACTATAACAGAAAGGGCTACTACTCAATGCTTTTGCAAGTTATTTGCAACAGTAAAAAAGAATTTATAGATGTGTTTTGTGGATGGCCAGGCTCATCACATGATGCCAGGATGTGGTCAAATTCACCAATCCATCATACAATTGAAAATGATGGTTTGATGAATACCATCTGCTTGGTGATTCAGCATACCCGCTCAAAAACTATTTGTTGGTGCCATTCAAGGATAATGGTCATTTAAGCAATGCCCAAAAAAGATTCAATAAACGATTATCTAGTACAAGAGTCGTTGTGGAAAATGCAATTTATCTACTTAAAGGAGTTTTTCGTAAACTTAAGTATATAGATTTGATAAATATAGCAAATTTCAAATATATAGTTGTTGCAGCTTGTATACTTCATAATTTTCGTTTAAAATATGATAATGAAATGGAGCTAGATAATAGTGATGGCTATGATGGCTGTGATGAAAATTTTGAAGGGAGAGTTTGTGATTTTGGCAGAAATAAAAGAGAGCACATCATGCTTCAAATGACATAGATTTCAGATCAATTTTGATACATTAGTCGTATTTATACTTATTTATAATAATTACTTATTTTTGTAAAATGCACATTTGTTTTTGGAACTCTTTTTGATGTCATATATATGGAAATAAAATATTCAACACACATAAGTATTTAATATATATCTGAAGGTATATCTTTACTACAAATTCAATGCAAAAATTTTTGAAGGATTTTGCAGATTACCCAGTATTTATATTGTGTGATCTGCAAAATCCTTCGCCAATTTTTTTGCCAGCATTATTCCGCCAAGCCAACTTTTGCTGGGTGTACTGGTGAAATGAGGAACTCAACACATAAAATAAATTATTATTTATTTAGGCAGCAGTGGATTAACATTATATCTTTAATAAAATAAACATGTTAACTTAATATCTATCACAAAATAAACAGGAACTCTGAGGCAGGTACGTGAAAAACTAAAAAATATTTAACTCGAACATAAAACTATTAAGAATTATACAACTATGCATCACTTCATTTGGAATGTGCAGAACTTCTAATAGCATGTGCTAAATTGTTGACAGCTTCTATTTCTTTCTCTTTTAAAACTTTTTTTTCTGTCCATATCTTTTTCTCTCTTTCATTTTTTAAAAAAAGATATTCTTGTAATGATAACTGTTTTTTTTTTGCGAATACCTTTGTTTGTACCCTGTGTTGAGTCTTCTGAGGAATCTATGTCTTCTGATATCATACTTTTGTTGATGGATGAGCTTAGGCTCTGTGGTGGAGGCATACTGGAGGCTTTATTACCCAACACCCTATCCATTATTTCAAAGAATTCCCACGTGATTTGTGATTAACCTGTTCTTTTTAGTCTTTTTTCTTTATTTTGTCTGTAGGTTTGAAGCAAATTCCGATATTTTCTATAGCAGTCATTTCCACATACATTGTATTTGCCAATTTTGTTCATTTGGTCAGCTATTTGTTTCCACAGTTTCATTTTTCTACAGACTGGCTTATTGAACTCCTCCTCTTTTCCTAGTCGCAAGTCCAATAATAATTTCACTGCACTGCTAGTCCAGCAATGTAGGTTTTCTTTATTACTTTGAGATTCTTTCAACATAAAAACAATAATTCATATTACTAACAAATTTCAAGAGTTTGCTTCCATATTTTGTGATTTCGATATTTTATTAGACATAATTTGATTTTTTAGCCAACCAAAGCAATCAATACACGTTATTTTACTATGTTGACTGCCTACAGTAAATACATACCAGTGTGAGTTTCATTTATAGCTAGCTCAGACTGTGAGTGTATGGTGCTATTATTATTTTCATTGCCCTCGAATGTATCATCCATGGCCTGTTTTTTGTACTTCTTGTAATAGTGGTCAGTAATCTCTTCTAGGAAAGCTTGATCTGGAACATGTAGAAAATACTTTTTCAAACGGATTTATCAGAAGAATTTGCGTTCTGAGAATCAATAAAAGAACTCTGAACCAGAAAACCAAGAAATTTTCAGACATGCATAATTCCAAATAAAATCACTTGCCTTCAGATGCTGTGTTTATCTCGAATTGTGTTATAAAAACATTAAATTTGAAGCCATTCCTATGCTGTAGCATAACTTCAATCTTGTCTTCTTCCATTTTTTCACACAAAACTGTAGTTGTAAAAAAATATAAAATGTAGAGGTTAGAATATCATGGATCAACCCGATCAACCGAGCCCGAACGTCGGTGGATGCTGTTGGCACCGGTGACGTAAGGCGTATTCTTTAATTCACCGGTTGTTGTCTATATAGCTGTTGTATACCAAACTTGTCTATAAACTTGTCTATATAGTTTATAGACAAGTTTGGTGTACAACCGGTCGCTCAGACGGAAATTTTGGTTGCACCGGTGGCTCAACCGGTGAATTACAAAATACGCCTCTATTCACCACCAATATAAAGACAAGGTTGATGTACAACCGGTCGTTCCAGCGGAAATTAAAGGACGCAAAATTGGCTAACCGGTTGCACCGGTAGCTCAACCGGTGAATTAAAGAATATACCTATAGTAATGAAGTTTTTGAGTTCTCAATTGTTTCACTTTCATTGAAATGACTAGACGATAGTTTAAGTTCTAACAACATGGCGAATTAAAAATATTCAAAATACCCCTTCTGCTTATCTTAGAAGTAGCTATATCACTATGAGTCTGCAAAAACCTTCGTTTTTAGTTTCGTTTACGGCTTTTTACACGACACTTGGTAAAAGGCTCACAGTAATCGTATTTGCCCCATGAATTGAAATATTCTGCAACGAAGTTTGCAAGTATTAGAGATTTCAGACGATGGAATGGTATGCCTTCCGTATATGCTTCTAAACTGATACCGAGAGTCGTACCGAAGGAGTCTTATGTAAGATAATATGGCCACACAAGACAATTTCTCAGATATATTCTTCTAGGCTGTACAAGACTAGCCGTAGGCCAATAATGTAATAACTGTTTTACGTTTCATAAATATTCCTGTCTGTAGCATATTTTCTCAGCTCTGACTTGTAATATACTTCACCAACCAGGAATTCTCTTTTCTTATCTCTCTCATTTTTGAAATTCAGCAAATTTGCAAATGTAATTTCCAGAATGAATGAGAAAATGTGGATGCGCAACTAATTTCTAGCTTTGAATACATCTCAAGTAAGTGTATTTGAGACAAGAAACCAACGGAATTATCATCAACACAGATTATTAACACACACATCCTAAAAATGCAGTTATGCACTGCCGTTTCATTGCAGCCACAGTATACAATTTATAGCTTCCAATAATGAGATGTTACATCACATCGGAGCCAAACATTGATAACCGAAGCATCATGACGGTTAGGCAACTTGTACAGTTACAAAACGAGTTCACAAGTTACAACAGCTACAAAATGTAAAAAACCGACAGTCTGTTTTCAAGATACGTAATACCAGTGCGGGTTGGATAAATATACCCTATTTCACGAGTATCCATCACGCTTTGACGTCTACTGAGGGGAACAGGTGACCAGCAAGTGACATTTTTGTGTTAGTCTGCGACGGTGGCAATAATGACTCGGGTGTAAATCTGGTAAAGCTTGTTTGTAGCGTTTTGTTTTTTGTTTGCAAATGTACTTTTCTAAATAAATAAGCTTTTAGCAAGAACAAAATGAATCTGTAGCTTTCAAAAAAAAAAACAAAATATAGCTTTGTCTACCTGGCATTGACTGATCCGCCAGAATTATGTTCTTTTTTTTATACTCCAACTACCACGAAGGCCTAGGGCCTAAACACCCATGGTGTACCGTGGGGCTATAGGGGGATACAGGGGAAAGGGGGAACGCCACACGGATTCTGGCGAGGGAACACGTGTGCATGCAACATGCACGCATTCTGGCCCCGCCTACGAGATCCGCCGGGTGGTACCTCCGCGGTCGACAGTCAGAGTCGGTCTACCTCCTACGGATAATCACAACATCCATAGCCAAGAGAAAAGTTTCTCCTGGGACGGGGTTTGAACCCGCACAGCGCACGGCGACTGATCAGGAGACCGAAGAGTCTACTACTGCGGCTACCGCTGCTGCCTGATATGGGGAATTTTGAAATAATACTAGATAATCAGTTGTCATTCTACCGTAATGGATACTCGTGAAAAAGACTATATGTTTCGTTACTACAGGTTTTCATGTTGTGATTGTAGGAGTACGTTAGAATGGTTTTCTGTCATTCTGTCTTCACTTGAGGATTCTTATAGGGTGTCTTAATGCATGCATGCATGCTCCCTCACCAGATTTGCCAGTTGCTCACTCGTATAACCCATCCGCGAAGTTATGCTCATATTACAACTTAATTTTTTCATAAAAAGCTGAGTTTCGCTAAAATTTCTGTTGATTACATATTGGACGATGATTCTGCCAAGTATATTTTGTTGCTGAGAATATTTGGCCATTTTTGCTTTTTTTTTTATTCATCGAATAGCTCTTATCATGCTGAATTTTCAACTGATTAAGAGAAATACGAGTAGGCTGTACGCGACTAGAGCTATATAGAAATTTAGACCTAGCATCCCCTTTTCGATGATAGGAGATCCAAATTGTAAAAAACGAAGTTTTTGATTGACACTACTAGGGTTCGCTAAAGTTCGTCCAATAAACAGAAATTAAAACATACGGGTATTTGGTTTGTTTTGGCCAGACAATGGTCTTAGTTGCCAACTGCAATATCATGTTGATATCTCTATATCCTCCAAGGGTCAACTAAATCCTCTAGAGTATCATATCCATACATTTAACTGGGTTATCCTATTTAAGGGAATCAGTTGATGACTCATTTACGGCAAAAATGTGTTGTGGGTGTGCTGAACTATTCGTTGTCGGCTGTTCAGAGCTCCTGTTCGATCCAAATTTCTGGGATTTTTGGGATCGGGATTTTCCGGGACTATTCCCCAGTGTGGAAGCCTTGTTCAAAACGAAGATCTGATTTTAACATTGCTCCTCTTATCATTTTTTTATCATAATTTCTTAACTTTTTTCCAGCATTTGAGCAGTGGTACGACTGCAGTTGTAGCACTTTTGAGACCCAAAGAGAAAACGTTGTATGTCGCATGGACTGGAGATTCTCAAGCATTATTAGCGAGCCAGGGAAAGCTTATGCAACTAGTTAACCCTCATAAGCCTAACAGACCTGTAAGTATATAAGTGTCGTGTTTTGATGTCATTACTACAATAAGTGCTGAAGTCAAAGGACCAAAGTAATCCTATGATTAGTTTCTGAGAAACAGTTTATTGACAGTTCGCTTCTCGAGGGCATGGAAAGGTCGTGGTTGTTTCCTTCTTTTTGATTATGACCTTCGCAAGGTCATATCGAGCTCAACGCATATTGATTTAAGTTCTTGCAACTTATAATTTATTGTACTTTACAGCGGAAAATAAATTAAAACACGGATGTTGAATGGATTAGCTTAGTGGCGTTTCGGCTGTCTTGGCAGCTTTGTCCGAAGTAAAAATTAAATTAATGACATATACGTTTATGAAATTATCAAATAGTTGTTTTGCTAGCGACAGAGTTAGCGCTGCATTTGCATGTTTCTTTAAGGGTTTTTGTCAAGATCAACCTCTCAACACCCTCCTACAAGGTTTTTTAATGAAATATTTCTCCTAAAATAACAATTCTGTTTGTTACTTGGTGTCAGAACTATAATCGGTACATTCACCATTTTTCAAATAGGACAAACTATCACCCTATTTTCTCAGAAACTAATCATAGGATTGTTTTGGTCCAATGAGAACTTTTTTCAAGAAGGAGATTAATATACCATACTAAATTTTCCATATGTTTTGTGAGAGGTCCTTTGCGTTGTCATACACATTTATTGTTATTTTTCAGGATGAAAAGGACAGGATAGAAAGAAATGGCGGTTGTGTCTTGTTATTTGGAACATGGAGGGTCAACGGTCAATTAGCAGTATCAAGAGCAATAGGTTGGTATTAATATAATCAATCAAGGGTCGAATGCAAAGTAATTCCTTCACTAGAGGATCCCTTATTTTGAAGTTGCCTGATTGGCCGTGACAGCTTTAGCACATGCGAGTGACCAGAGGGATGTCAAATATCTTTCTCAATGAACAAGTCCAGCCTCATTTTAACCGAGACTTCCTTATTGCCTTGCATAGTCGTTAACTTCTAACCCCCCTTGTTTCATTGCTTTTCTCAAGGATCGCAAGGGCTTACCCATTTTGGTAGTTATGCAGATAAAAAACACATTTCGCATAATGATACGTAACTACTCAAGGAGCGTGGCATGCTGGCGTGATCTTCGAGTTCGTGAAATTACCTCCGTCTGAACGAGGTGTCATGAATTGCCTTTGACGTAATAGATCTACTGGGTGTTCATTTGAACACTTCACGCCACGGATTTATCGAATACCACTGATTAAAAGAAAAAACACCGAGACACGTCAAAAGATTTGACAAGGGGGACAACTTTTTAACCAAAAACTACTTCCCCCCTTTCACCCTCTGCCCTCCAGGGTCATCCCCTTAAAAATATTAAATGACAAGTGTATCGAGTAATAGCTTGTTTGAAAGGTCTTCATTTTGACGATTTTTTAAAATCGGTCGATTCGTTTTCGAGAAAGTTAGAAAAACCTTTATTCATCTTAATTTGTTCAGATAGAAAACAAAAACACACGAAAATATCACTTTTTATTTCAATAAGTGTTCAATATGTTGCCCGTTATTGGCTAAACTATGATATAGGCGATGTTCAAATTCCTGACGGACATTTTCAAAAACATGTTGTGGGATATCACGGCATCTTTCGATGATGCGTTGACGAAGTTCATCCAAACCTTCAGGTTGAGGAGTAAACACAATAGATTTCAAAAGGCCCCATAGAAAAAAGTCTAATAGCGTCAAATCAGGAGATCTAGCAGGCCATTCCATAGGTCCTCTTCGCCCTATCGATTTATCTGGTAACTTGTTGTCTAGCCATTGCCGAACCGGAAGAACATAGCGAGGAGGAGCGCCGTCTTGCTGGAAATACATTTCAGCCTTAGCAAGTATACGGTTTCCATCCTCTTAGATTTGGTTTTCATTGCATCTATGCTCTGCCGTTTATTTCCAGTTATAGTATACAACTTGCAGCTTAGACCTCCAATAATGCTATCTCTCAAGCGGATGTTACATCAAAGCAGAGCCAAAGATTGATAGCTGAAGCATCATGACATTTAGGCAGCACGTACAGCTACGGAACGAGTATCCATCAAGAGTACAACAGCTAGTGCTAAGTTGACATTTTGTGGAAAAACCTACATAATGTCACAACAAAAACGACAATATCACTTTTCCAGATACGTAGTACCTCTGTGGTCCTATAAGATTCCAACCAGTATCGTATCATAATAAAAGTACTATGCACTCATATCATATTTAATAAACTGATGGTATTTGTGGAACCCCAAAGAAGAGTCCCATATAGATCTTGTTGTAGATTCGGTAGACATCCTAAAAGAATAATGGAGGTGCTTTAAATGTAAAATTGACCTTAACATACAGGCTGCTGACTGTATACGTTGCAAACAGCATTGGCGCACCATGGTCAACAAAACATAATTCAATAGCTCAAAACCAGTTTGCAGGACGATGCGATGTAACAAACCCAACGTTGTCAAACTACAGCCAGTATCTTAGATATAGGTGCACTGCTCTTGCAACTGTTTACGATATTCGCTCGATACTGTTTCAGATTCATGGTCGCCGCTGGAGCATCATACTTTCTAAACGCGTATATAGTCTGGTTGAAGCCGTGTCCATATTTAAAATATCATATACAGGGAAATCCAAATATCACTGACGAGGTAATGTGTACGGGAGATAAGCGTGCAATACGTGTATTAGAAAGAGTGCGCCTATGGCAACGCGGCAAGCCGCAGCTGCGTTCGTGGCCTGGTCACTGCTAGGCAATGTGGTGCTTCTATCTCTTCCTAACAAACGTATTGCACGCTTCTTGCGGTTCTCTGTCGTACACATTACGACGTCAGTGGTATTATGGATTTCTCTGTATATGTACGATCTAAGGGAACACACGTTTTCCACCTGTGAATGATGGCAACGGCGTAAAATACCATAACAGTAACATTCTTATGTCCGGAACGGAAATTTAGTGAACAGATTTGTCTATAATCCCTCACGCTTGTCGCCAGTAGAACTACGTGTATCGGCAGATCTTCTTTACTGTAGTAATTCAGAACTATGATTTCGCACCATCTCAGCATGTTGCTATTGTGGTAACACACTGTATAGTAATGTGATAATGAAAAGAAAAAACACCTGGAAAACAGACAAATCAAATATAGTCAACGCCAAACAAAGTGGCGTGCACGTCATCAAGGTGGGTGTGTTGAAAAATTTACATTGTTGCCAAACTTTTTGTAAAATAATAAAATTTATTATTTACATATCTAGGTTTATAAGCAATATTAACCTCAAATGAGAACAAAAATAATAGTATAATAAAATTATAGATCTGTACTTGCATAATCATTAAGTATGACAATTATTGATCAGATGACACTATGAAACTACCATATTTAATTGATAGCTTAAAGGTACTGAATAAAAATCCAAATGAGGTCCTCCAAATTTTATGCATGGTATTTATTTTACAGAATTCATACAGAAAAATGCATTCTAAAATTAGGTAAGCTACTGGTGTAAGCTTTTTCTGTACAATAAAGTTAGTCGGAGTTTCTTTCTTCAGCGCTGTCTGAATCTGAATCTTCATCACTCTCAAAGTTGATTATTAAAGGTTCGATGTCTGGTCGATCAAAAATTCGTTCTCTTTCATACCATTTAAAAATTTCTTGCTCAGTATGTCGAACACTATTTTTCCACATGTCTGGGGTAACCGTTTGTAGAGCCTCGTTCCACATATCCAAACAGTCTTTTTCACTGTTACCATCTCTACCAATATGTCTGTTATAGTAACCTTTTGCTATGCCCCAAATTAACTCAATAGGGTTAAATATACAATGGTAAGGAGGCAGACGAAGAACTTTGTGCCCATGTTGTTCCGCCAATTCATTAATCACGTATATTTTAAAAGCAGTTATTTTAAGAATAGGAATAAACAAAAGAAATATAAACTGTCGACCAAAATATATATAATTAAGAAGCATTATGTACCGAGCAACAATACTCAATAGCTCTGTTTTAAACATTGTGTTTAAAAATGGTATGTTTTGATTTGTCAACCAGTCTTGGATATTTTTTTTTGTCCATGCATTGTTGGGCACTTTGTTCAATATCATGCTGTGATAAGGGGCGTTATCCAGTATAATCATAGATGGACTCTCCAATTTTTCTAATAACTGATGTTGAAACCATTTCAAAAAATTGTCCTGGTTCATCTCTCCATGGTAATCGCTCAATTTTGTTTTCGAAGAAAATATCGCTTCACTACCCTCAATAAACCCATTTTCATTTCCAGCATGTAATATAATGTATCTAAAATATATTAGTTTTAAATTTTATAGTGCAAATTGTGTAAAAGTACATACCTTTTACCATCTGTTTTAATAGCTTTCACGCTTTTTTGGTTTCCATTTTGCCAAGAGCGACCTATGGTCCCATTTTGAAATATCCAAGTTTCATCGAGGAAGACAAACTGGTATAAGGCCTCAACCTTGGCTTGATTGTATTGCCTTAGAAATTCCACCCTTTTCAAAGCTATACTTGGTAGTTCCATGAGCCCTCGTCGCGGATTGTCCTTAAGCCACTTAAATCCAAGATCTCTAAGCAACCGCCTTAAAGACGTGGCACTACCATCAAATAATGCCCTATCTCTTAATCGAGACCATAAAGTTTGTATCGTAACTTGTTCTTCTGAAACCATGTGTAATATGACATTATAATTTAGTTAACAAATTAATGCAAATTTCTGATATATTATTATAATAAGATCTTACTTTTGTGATACATATTATAGATCACTTCTCGAATGGCACTTGTATCCAATGTCGCTGTGTTGGTTACACGTTTAATATAACTCCGCTTTTTCTTGGGCGATTCTAAATTTGCATCACTTTTCACACCCTCGGAAATACGACTAACTGTCCTTAAACTAATTTTTAAAGCAGCAGCAACACGCTACAAAAAATGAAATAAAATTTCACTATTATTAATATACATTACATATAATTATTAGTAACCTACCTCTTGAACAGCATTTAAAGGCAACAAAGGCCCGTTGTTGTCCCTTTCTTGCTCAAAGTAGTGCATTAACGAGGCCACGAGTTCCTTACACCGACTATTTAACTGTTTGGGCATCTTTATATACCAAAATTGCCTTTATCTACTCGTAAAATGAATAATTTTGTTTTGAAACAAACAGTTGTTGATTTACAGTATGCGGGGCCAAAGGATTTATAAAGATTTGAAATGCCACAAATTGATTCAGTGTCAAAATTAATACAAATGTCAGTTCCCAGTTTAAATAAGTTTCAAGGTGACAATGTGTCAACGCTGCGAAATCGGTTTAGTGCGTTTACATGTCGATAAGTGATTGGAGCGTTTGCAAAACATTTTATTTCGCATAATGCGTCTAAATTTATCAGAAAGCAACTTATGTGATATTTTAATAACAATGTTTATATGACTGTTAACCATAATAAGAGAGTAATGACCATTTTACAATTTATATATCACATTAATATGAAACTGCAATAGAGCAATTGTTTGTGATAGAAACCTAGGCATTAGGTCGGGGAATTTTTATCGTGATGACGTGCACGCCACTTTGTTTGGCGTTGACTATATATGCCATTGTACTGAAGAAGATCACCTGTGTGTGAAACGTTTACTACAGTAAAGAAGATCTGTCAATATCTGTGGTTTGCTTGACCATGCAAGCGTGAGCGATTATCAACATGTAACCCACAAGATAAATGTCATCTGTTACATTAGAGATGTCAATCTTTGTTTATCTCACAACGAGGAGTCGTAAGTTTGCCTCTGACGTTATCGGAACAGAGGCAAGTCCATGACCGCTCACCACGTGGTTATTGATAGCGCCAAGAAGACTG